TCTTCATTTGTTCAAAATGCTAATTGTAAATTCTTTTAAACAGCAAAATGTGTCCTTTGGTTTCTCACTACTTCAGTCCCCTTCTGGAAAATGGGGGTAATATTGCCTGTTCCAAATGCTGGTCTGTTTCGGTCATAAATTGTTTGGTTCAGGGATTGTCATTTCTGCCTTGTGCCTAGACAGCAGAGCCCTGATTTCATCCTGGTTGCTGTGGGTGCTACTCTGGTGTAAGTGAAATCATAAAATGACAGATAAGGGACAATTGCAAGGGTGATTCTTTGAAATAAGATGTAAAGAAGTAATAGAATGTGCATTTGGTTGTCTAACTGGAGCATTTCTCATTATAATTAGTGTCATGATTGTCATCTAGACAGTATAGAGAAGCTAGATAACAATTTTGCACCTTGGTCCTTCTGAACTAGTTGTCACAGGTAATATTCCTTTTTAGAAGCAAAGCCTGCAGGAGCCATGAGCACAAGCATATTTCCCAGGTAGGCATAACAGTTGTGTGTTTTTTGAAGGGCCCTTTTCATTACAAAAATAGTGAATATGTGCATTTTCTCTTACGAAAATGTCTCTTATTTGTGTTTTTTCTGAAAGGTTTGTTGAAATGTGAACATTTTGCACATTTAAAGAGGCATTTGAGAGACCGCTTGTGTTAACTGCTGAGAAATGCATTGTTTGCATCAGGAGCTTCCAATTTTACACTATATTGAAATCCACCTGTGTGAAATGAAAATAAGTGTTGTACGAGAGGATGGTTTACTGAAATTCCTGCCTTTTGGACCCTGAAAGGGAATTTAAGGGGCTCTGTGTAATTTATGTTCTAGCTTCCATCAAGTGTCAGCTTAAAAAGTACATGGCTTTGTGCATCTTTTTGTAGCATTTTCCAAAAGTTAAAATATAGTTTATGAACAAGACTCTAGACTATTAAGATAATTATTGTTTTAACTTTTATTATGATAGAGAATTTTTCAAAGGTCACGGTGAATCTAATCTAGTTTTCACTGAATATTGAAGCATCTACATAATATGTTTCATGCATTGTTTAAAAAGTAGTACTAGCCACAATATTCTGATAAAAAAATTGTAGTGAAAAATGTATTAAATCAAGCATGGTGAATGAGAGAGGAAAATACATGAATGAAAATGCACATTTAAAAAAAGGAAATAATCCATATTTTAAAACTTTCTGATTCCAAGTGGGCTTTGAATAGGCTCTTACTGTGCATCTCTTAGAATATGTAGTTATGGAAATGACTCCTATTCAAGCCAGTCAACCTGAGTTCAGGAGCTTTTCCTGAGCTAGGTGCATGGACCGGTACTGTACAGATAATGAGTTGTTGATGTGCACAAGCTCTGAATCTTTAAATCTAATTTGAACTAGAAGTGTAGCAAAACTGAACCACATCTTCCAATATTTTATACAATACATAATTATCTTTCCTTTTTGAATTGCATTAGGATTTTATTATTGTATGGTATTTGTTCAAACACTAGGAAAGTAGGTTGTATTCTCACTTCTATTTTGCCTTAAAATTCACCATAGTTAGTTAACATGCTTAATTTAATTAGTTACACATTATATAGGAAGACCCGTTAAATGGATGACTTTTGGAGCAAGCACACTGACGGGGATTTTCTGACTTGCACATCAAGGATTCAGTCAGGCTCCTGCCACACACACACACACACACTCACTCACTCACTCACTCTCTCTCTCTCTCTCTCTCTCTCTCTCAAACTCATTATCCAGCTATAAAAGAACAAAATAGCTACAATTAGTGCTTGAAAATGTGTAACAACTCTATCTCTGGTTTCAATCCAGCTTTAATTTGAACATTGGTCAGGGCCCTCACAATTGCACCTAACAGACTTATTCCAAGTGCCTCATGGTCTGCTTCTCAGCGGGCACGTCTACATGCGTGCCTGACTGCGAAGTTGTTACTGTGCAGTCACTTAGTACTGTGCTTTAGCAAGTACAAAATGACTGCATAGTAACCACCCGTACTGCGCAGTCCTAGCATCGCATGGGTTGTTTCTGACCCTACTGCACAGTAACAATGAACTACTGCGCAACAGCTTGTTGCTACTGTGCAGTAGTGGCGGTGTCATGGTTCATGCCTGCCAGTGCTATGTCGCCATAGCAACAAGCAGTGTCTCCGTAGCTTGTCACTTTGGTGATGTAGCATCTCGTGTACACACACCCACTGGGTGCATCTATATGTGCAAATGCTGATTGATGGGTTTACTCCAGTGTAATTTACTCTGGAGTAAACCCACACTAGATAGGCATCTGAACGTGTGCTCATTTGGGAGCAGATTTGCTGTTCCTGGCAGCAGTCTGCTCCCAGCCCTGCACAGCCTTGGGGAAGTTTGGAAATATAAAATAGCAGTCAGTACCCATTAGCTCCAGAGGTAGCTGTTGTCCCACAGAAAATAATATTATAACATTAGGTTCAAAGCTGATGGTGACCTACTAAAATAATAGAAAAACATATCATGCTAAATTCTACCTTCATTATTGACTTAAATGGGATTAGACAGGCATTAAGTGAAGGTAGACCTTTATGCTTACACACTGATGTTGCTATTCTGCAATTAGGAAGAAACAAAACCCTGTAAAAGTTATGATCTCTGTGAAGCAGGAGGTATTCTAATCTCATCCCAATGAACAGGGGGGCTCAGGATGAGGCTGGGATATTCACATTCTGCTGAAACTCAGCTTCAGTGAACTAGTCTGGTGTTCATTTTGTCACAATTTACAGTCTGCATAATCCAAGAGACAAGGCTTAGGGTTTATGTAAGGAAAACAACCCAAAGGTTTATAAAGTAGCTATCAGGCCACATTAAGAGGTTGGCAAGAAGCAGAAGAGGTTTGTAAGTGTGTCGGCAATCCACTGTCAGCCCTATCTATGGCTGCATGTACTTACAAAGTCTAAAAATAATCACCTTCCATGGGAAGAAAATGTAGAGACATGTCTTAAAAGCATGGCATTACAGCATGTGGATGGAGAGTCATTACTTTGGGTCCCCTTGTGGTCCTATAGAAAATCTAAAGATAGATCCTGAGCACTAAGTTATCATATCTAGAGTACAGATAATTCAGCATATACCTGGAATATAGTGATTTACAGCAACAATAATTTTTCTGGTGTGGAGTTGGTGGTTTTCATGAGGTCTGTTAAGTTTATAATTCACTTACTATATCACCTTAGAGGCAGTTACACAGCAGACATTAAACATAGTCTGCTGTGTAAAATGAAGCAGGAGATCAGGGTTCTTATCCAGCCCTGCCTGGAGACATAACATATTGCAAGCACTCTGCCATTCTGGGATTCTGTGGCAGGTTGCCTGTGCAGCTCTAAAACTCTCCTCTGCTACCTCACTTTCAGAGCTGTGTCATTTTAAGAGGTTTGTGGGCTATTTTAGTTCTATACACAATGATTGGTACTTAGACACATTTTGCTATAGTCATTTGCCCAAAAATAGATTTTGGGAGTGGAGCTTCCTGAGTAGTCGGTGCACATAACGTATAATCCCAAGTATCACATTCTTGCTGTAAAAGGCAGACAGTCCATAATGTGAGGATAGCGTTTCCCAACCTTTCACAATATGTTTGAGTTTAAAGTGGATGATGCTAAGGATAAACTAATATCCACTTTGGATACTTTATTTAAAACCACCTACATGGTGGTGCAGTATACCTCCAGGGAAACTTGTATTGCTTAGCTCCTCCACAAACAGCATTGGATCATAGGCCTCCTGAGGACAACGACTGTATTGCTTCAACTCTGCAGCGATGACTGTATGTGTCTGCACAGTGTGAATGCTCTGCACTTGGGCTGTAAATGTCCTGTGGCCAACCAGAAAATAAGTCCCCAGCTAGCATATGCACTGTATGGGAGGTTAGCAAGGTTATCAAGTACATGTTATCATAGGTTATCAAGTCCATGTCCTGGTACAAGGGGAATTATTAGGAACATGTCAGAAGTAGGAGGGTGCTGTCTGCTGTGCCACCACGCTATAGAAATTCCTGGTGATGTCATGAAGTGGGAGGGTGTGTGTGGTTCAAAACCATCAGTGTCTTTCCTTTTCCAGGGCTGCAGGGTTTATACTGAAACTTAAGTGGCCTACCAGAGAACCTCTCCTAAAGTTCTTCTATATCTTGTCCCGTTGTGGCCACGTTGTGTGGGCATTTCACAAATGAATAAGAAATTAGTGCATGCATCTCAGTAGCTAATCTTTTTGTGGGTGTTCGATGTTTATTTTCTCTGGAAAACAAAGCAGAGTTAACAGTTTTATGCAAACACAATTTTTTCTTGTTTTATTTCCATTGGTTCTCAACACGTAATTAATGAGAGTATGTGGCATGAGCTTATCCACTGTCAACAGCAATGAGCAGTCTCCTAAAAGTAGGAGAAATGATGGCAGGGTAGCCCAAAATACTTGGGTGTGCTTTGCAAATCTCTGGCCACTAGAGCTCACAAAAGTAAATTAGGATTCCTAGTAAGAGTAATTCTTCATATTTGTAGAAAGAAACCATTTCTGGTTCTTCATGTGAAGTTTATACTATTAATTTTCCAAAGCTAATTTTGAGTACCACTGATTTGCTAAATAGCTGCCTAAATGCTTTACCCTTTTATGTGCTTTATATACAAATTTACAGTCAATTCCCTTCTGTACATGTCAGCATCTCCATTAAAAGGTGGTAGAGAACAAAGCATAATCATAGGAGCCTTGCAAGGTACTGTGCATTTTCTTTTCTGTTCTGGCAAAATCTACATTTTGAATTGTACAAACTTGACACAGAGGAATTTATTTATATTTCATAGGTCACACTTCACTCTTTTAAGCCAAATTTTGCAGCTTTAGTCAGGCAACATTTCCTTGGATTTCAGTAGAAGTTCTGTCTTGAGTAAGTCCTGCCAGATTGTAATTGTAACTTGGCACCGTATTGACTGCATATACTTTCTAATGAATTCTCTTTGCCTTTGCAGTGTTTTAGATGATGAGGGCAGCAGTCTGCGTCAACAAAAGCTTGATAGACAGGTAAGATTTTGAAGCCTGCTCTGGACCCATTTCCTTTTTTAATAAGTAGAGTATTCTCAATTGGATTGCTATGGAAACCTTTACTTATTGACACACACACAGCTGATAACTGATAGAATTATTGTGCCAGAAAATTATGTTTTGGAATTTTAGGTTCCTGGCCTTCCAGACTGTGCTACTTATGCTTATGTGATGGGAAGGGAAAGATTTGTGTTGAGATTTTACTTCTTAGTACTGTCATTCGAGTGATTCTTGCTTTTTTCTAAATTAGCATTGTATTGTGCGGCTAAGAATACGTTATTCCTTTTGGTGGACCATGAAAGAATTGGAGCAAAGCACAAAATACAAGTAGGGGGGTGGCAGCCAGTTGCAAAATTTTCAGAAATTTGCAGTAATTTTCATCTTCATCTCATTTTCAGAAACATAGGCTTAAGGTTGTTTGATAATCTGTAATGACTGCTGAGTAACCAGTATGCTTCTGTATTTCTATTGCATTCCTAAATGGCTAACATAAAACACTCATTCTGAAGATCTTTGGTGAGATCCTGTGCCTGCTGAAATCAATAAGAAACTTCCGTTGGCTTTGACATCGTTAGTAGGGCTGTGTGAAGCTTTGGTCCCTGATTGAATTCAGAGGAGATTTGGCCCGATTTGGTGCCTGAATCTCCGAATCCGAATAGAATCAGGAGACCCTTTAGTCTCTCTGAATCATATCAGCGCCTTCTGGATCGATTCGAAGAGATTCAAAAATATTCGGCTATTTTGACATAGACACAGCTTTAAATGCTTTTTTTCTACATACCTCTAGGTACCAGATGGCTCATGAGTGCTGTGATGCTGGGGTGCATAGAGTGTCCCAGTGCGGGGACTCCCCAGTGCGCTTGGCAGCAGACCCAGAAGTGAACCAGCAGTACTTCTGGTCCACTGGGGAGCACTCAGCGATTGGTGACTCCTGGGTTTGGGGGGGGACACCTGGGGTCCCCCCCGTGGCTGATCGCCAACCAAGGAGTGCACAGGAGGGCCCCCTGTGCGCTCCCTGTGTTTTCCACCAAGCACATGGAGAGCCCCTCTGCACTCCTGTGGGACTCTCCATCCTCCCCAAGCAACGCAGTGTTCATGAGCTGCGCTGGTACCTCAAGGTATGTAGAAAAAACATTTAAAGCTGTGTCTATGTACAAATTGCTGATTCTCCAAATCAGCATTGAACCTTCAGATCTGGATTCAGCTGAATCAAGTTGGGGACAGTGATCCGAATCAACAAATTGAATCCCTGTCCCTGATTCAGGCTCAGTCCAAATTGAGTAGGACCCAGATTCTGAGCCCTCCACCATGTTGAGTGGCAGCAAACTACCTGTGGACTGAAGTATTACTCAGCACAGCAAAGTATACCTTCCATGTACTTTCCACTAAGTAAACACACCACTTTTGCTATTTATAATAGCATTGAATGCCCTTTTTATCTTTATGTGAGTGAAGTCAAGAAAACACCCCCTGTACACGCAAACCACGCAGGGAACAAGAGAGACGATGGAGTGCTAACATTAGCTCTTGTTAAACCTGCAGTTCCACATGGACATGCAAATAGAATTCAGCAGAGTGGTGCTTCATGATATGTTGCCTGCCATCATGTTCTTAATCTAGAAGTGCCTGGAGGAAGGGATTGGATGGTTTTTAAATCAATCCCCAGCCTCTTAGTGTTAATACCTAATGTTTCAACTGGGGTGGAGGGGCTGCAGATGGAGGAGAATGTGTTTAATTAGTATTCAGAGCATAGAATATAATGCTGAACTTATGTTTGGTTTTACTGCTTGATTTACAGATTATTGGTTCTTGATTTTTCAAAAAACTTAAATCACCCTTTTCATGCCTTGTGCTTGTGGTCCTCATGTTATTGGTTCACAGCTTGTGCTTTCCCTGCTGGCCTCCCAAAGGATGTTGTTTCTAAGCAGGCTCTGACAGTTGCTAGACTGCTTAGAAACATCTATTTTAACTATCTGACGCTTTCAACCGAGTGTTTTAGAAAAGCTTTCTATAGTGTAGTATCACAAACAGAATCCCAATAGATTGTGGTCCTGCCACTTGAAAAATAGTACACTTCCAGGGAAGTAGCTGTAAAGGTGTTGTGATTCTTAAGGAAGTGTTACTGTCCAAAGTCAAATAACATGCATTTAACTACAGCTTGCAGAGCTTCAGATTCCTGTATATGACTAGCATTTACTCTAATAGTAAAGTACTTTTCTTTGTATTTTCCCCAGCGAGCATTGTTAGAACAGAAGCAGAAAAAAAAGCGCCAGGAGCCACTAATGGTTCAGTCCAATGTGGACAGCCGTACTAGAACACGCAGAACGAAACATTCAGAGGAACAAGCGCCGTTGGTTGAATCCTATCTTAACAGCAACAGCAGCACCATTTACCATGGTATATTAACATAACCTATTGCATGCATGTTTACTAGACGTAGTACAATATTGTCAAAAAATTGAAGTAAACTTGTGGGAACAAGAATGTAATTTTTTAATGAAAGCTTTTATTTGGCTATGGGAATGAAAATAACAATAAAAACGTAGAACTTCGAGGGATAGATTCACAATCCCAACGGCTTTTTAGGTGTCAAGTTCAATAGTTAGGTGCCACTGGAATTCCTAAAACCTATGCTCAGCTGCCCCCTACCATAGAGGTGTGTAAGTTTTTGCTGGTAAAGTCACATAGGATGTATAAAATAAATGCCAAACAGCTTAGGTCTTGAGAGACCTATACAGCTTGGCATCTGTTTGTCTGGGCCCTAGCAGGGCTAACAAACTAGCTGGTCCCCCCTCATGGTCCTTATCCGTGGAGTGCAAACTGATAGACATTCTCAAAGCACATCTGACTCCATGGCAATGTTAGGAGACAGGACAAGGGGGTGGTGGTGGGTGGTGCTCTTTTGTCCAGTAACCAAGACAGAGGAGATCTCCACTCATTTGCCTTCAGGGATCTGAACCCATGTCTTCCACCTCCTACCAGAAAAGTCTAACCAGCAGACCATACAATATTCTGAGCTTGGGTTCCTTCAGTATCTTAAGGACTGTATGGTCCAGTGTTTAGTGCTTCTACCCTTGCTCCAATGGCTGTTTACATATTTTTATATGAAACAGAACACCCCCAAAAGGTGTAATTGAGAGAGATCCACTCCAGGACATCCTTAGACCCTTGCAGGTGGGATACTTTCCCAAGACAGGGGTTCCATTCCTAAGAGGCAGTATCTCTATTAGTAATTTAGGAAAACAAGGGTGCAGGGCTTCCTTCTCTGTTGTCTGCAAAAAAGGGGGTTGACTTGGGCAGCTAATTCCAGGGTTTATGACTGTGAATCCCAGCTAGTCGCACCCTTCATCCACATTTCTGAGTAGCAGCTACTTATTCTTCAGTGTGGCTTCTGTAAATCCTGTTTATAGTTACCTAACTACATACGTGGTACAGGGAGAAGTAATGTAATGGGGGACAGGGACCCAGGCACCTTCTCAAGCACCCATTTAGAGGAGGTGCAGAAATGGCAGCTGCTGCTGCAGCTGACCTGATTTCTGCTGTCACCTGTGCTGCCACCCATGCTACCACTGCTGCCCAGGTTGATACACCTCTGAAAGGAAGGATAGCCACCTAATTTGGAGTTGTGAATTCAAGTGGGAAAGAAGGCACCCACAAATCTCGCTCCCAAATACTCATTATCCTAGCTTTAATATTTTTTTGACTGAACACTTTCATTGTTGTTTTACAGTTGCTTGGATTCCAGCTCTCCTTTTAATAAACTTCATTTACCATACATTATATTCACCTTTGTCATCTGATTTCAGTATTTCATAAAAGATTGTTTTTTTGTGTGCAGTAAGAAAATATGCTTACTAAAAGCATCTGAGGGACTGTGAGAAATGTATAGTTGAATGGGAATATTTTTCCCTTCTGTGGAATTGATTCATTGAAGATTCAGAATACACAGGCTATGAACAAAAGGGGTTTGAATTGTGAACCTCTTTTTAACATGTTTCTAAAAACTACATAAGCCACAGCAAATTATCTCTGGACTAGAACACATTATTTTCTCACACAGTTGGAGAGAAGAGCGTGTCAAAATTGAACCTAATTTTTTTTTTATCCCAGCTGTCTAAGAAGCAGATTTTGCACAGAATTTTATGGAAATATTTTCCTTAGCATTTCTTTAGCTGCAGAAAATAGAAAGTTTCTTTTCATCCTCTTCCCACCATCACAGGTTATCAGAAGTGCAAAGCCTTAGACTGAGAAAAGCTGTTTTATGATACCCAGGAACAATTGTATTCAGAGCCTTCTTTATATAAAGTGGGAAAACAAGGTTTTAACTCAGCTACAGGCCAGAGAAACCAGACATTATCCTCTCACCATCAAAAGTGAAATCCTTATTTACAAAATCTGGACTGAGTTCTGTAACAGCTTGTACCCTGGGCAGTCCTCTGATGTCAGCAAAGCTTCCCAAGGTGTCAGAATTTGGCGCTTCATATCACATCACATCACATCATTTCACTTCTTCCAGGTGCTTCTTTGCAATGATTATTCACTTCTTATCCTCAGAGCACTTCATTATAAATTCTCTTACAAACTCAGCCACCAAAGAGTGTTGGTGGGTAACACAAACTTTGAGATGACTTCCTTTTTAATTCTTTATTTTTTTACAAGTTTCTTTAAGCCATTAAATGGGATATGGTTCTTCCTACATCTGACATGCACAGGATAAGTAAGTAAGGTAGATGAAATGTCATAGAACTGAAAAGAGATATGTTTGTTTCTCATATTTGGTCCACGGTTTGTTAAGCTTTGGAGGACAGCTGCCCTTGTAATAAACTGCTTGTTCAGTTATCAAAAGCTTCAACTAAGCCGTATTTAATTACCCAATAAAGTATTTTATTTCCTTATAAAATCTTCTGTCAGGAGCATTATTTTTGAAAACTTTGAAAGAACTCCAAACTCTCCTTTTTTGGGGTGGCTATATTTCATACTGTGCGTGGTACTTGAGGGGACACTAATTACATGGTGTGGGTTTAGGTCTTGCTGGCCATTTTAAATTACTGGATTCAGTTCCAGTTTTTGCCTTTTTTTCCCTTCTTTAATGAAAACATTTATATGTGGGAGTATTAGCTGTATGAGACAGCTGGGTTGTATATAAAGAAGAGGTCTGCTCTTTTCCATTCATTTGGTTTTTTAATGGGCAAGCATAAAAATGACTCTTTTGATGGGAATTGGCAGTCTAGTGAATAAACTGTATTGACTGTGTGAGCACGCAGGCAAGATCTGTTCCTGTACAGGAAGCACTGCAAACAACTTTTTTCCCATATCTACCACCCCCTAATATTTTCCTGTGTAATTTCTGTCCATTAGCTTTGGCAGGAAGGTATGACCCATGAATGCTTGTTGAATTTGATGAGTAAAATGAAGCTTGTTTCTCATGGGAGTGTGCATGAATAAATTATGGGACCTTTACGTAATACTTTGAGCAAAAGGGGTCAGGGACAGGCCAGCAGGATTTCTCTTACTTCCACCATGTTAGAGCTTGTCTACACAGGGAAGTTGAATGCTACAGTGAAATAAATGAACATTATTCCAGAATAGAAGTCACTTTGTCAGCAATTATGCTGGAATAAAGCCAATTTTGTGCTGGAACAGAGTGTCCATGCAGGAAGCTATTCCAAAATAGTTATAGGAGAATAACTTTCTGCTCTGGTTATGCTGGTGTGCAGTTTCCCCATGTACAGAGGGCCTTGGTTGCTGTTAGAAACCTGCAGTGCATTTCAGGCTGATTGCTGCTAATCTGTTGATTGCAGGTCCTGCATTCAGGATTGAGTCTATGGGAGGTGAGAGTAGGTCAGAGACTAGAAGGGAGCCAATTAAAGACTGAGGCTGAATTAAGCTTGGTGCCTCTTGAAAAGCAGAGATAAGCAAAAGAAGCTTTACTGCATTTTGGTGCTGGTCTGTATCAGACCTCTCCGAGGCCATTTGTGTGTGCTGGAGCCAGTGTGCAAGCCAGTCTAGTAGGGTGCTGCCTGCAGTGCGCACCCTATGCTGGTTATAAGCACCAACCACAGCACTGCAAGCCCTGGAGTTGGACTGGTGCGTGCTGCACATGACATGAGGGTGCCCATTGGTCCTGTTGTATCCTGGACTGTCCTGTTTTTAAAACCCTCTATCCCCTGTCCACTTCTAAATGAGGAAGTGACTGCAAAAAGTCCTGTTTTTCAGTTTGTTGATAGAAATATATGTCAGTCATTTGTCCTCAGGATTCTATTGGCTGCATCTAGAGGCAGGGCGGTGCATAGCCAGGAGGAGCAGGGTTTTAAGCCAGGTAGGGAGGGAGGAAGGTAGTCTCTTTGTGGTGGCCTCACCTCTTGCTGCTGACTGGCCAAGAAGGCAGTGACCCCATCCCTCACTGGTGATTGGCTGAGGGGGCTAGTGGTTCTCTCCCCGGAGATGTCCTGTATTCTGGGGATGTGTCACTGGCCACTCTACATGACATAGCTTTGATCCAGCACTGTGGCACTGCATGGCCACAGGGCCAACACTACATGTGGTGTCCCACTAGGCCAGCTCTGGAACTAGTGCGTAGGGTCAGTCCAATGGCTCTGGCACAGGAAGTGTGCGCCTTGGAGTAAGTCCCTGTGCTGTGAGCAGTGCCTGTGGCACTGGGTCCAGCCGACGCACCAGATTGGCTCCTTACATCACATCTGGTGTGAGAGGTTAGTCAGGATCCACTGCCTGGATCATATGGCTCCAAATCTGGCCCATGGATCTTATGTTGCACCCTCCCTGCCCTAGGGTTTTCTTTCTGTCACTTACCTGTCACGTCTTGATGCAATCTGGATCTCTTGGGAGGTAGTTTGGAGGTACCTGGCGGGAAGTGAATCTGGTGCCAGTAGACCAGGGGTAGGCAATTATTTTGGTTGGAGAGCTTAACGAGTTTTGTTGAGCTGTTGAGGGCTGCAAAAGTAGCCCCGCCCCTTGACAAGTGTCCCACCCCCTGGTTGCCATCTTGGGACCGGAAGTCTCATCCCTAACCTTTGCCACTGGAAGTCCCTCGCCTTGCCCCAAAAGTACTCCTTTTGGAGGGGGGGGAGGCCGCTATCTTGAACCCAGAAAAAAAACAAATCATATACTAAAAAAATCAAACATCTACTATGACTTACTTTAATTTTATTTTTAAAAAATTGTCCTGATTTATGTGCATTTGTGTAGTGTATCTAGAGGTGATTGCTGATAGCTCAAAATGCAATCTTACTTTTGTATAGTGTGTGTGTGGGGGGTAAGAGGTTTTATGTGGTTGGGGGTTGGAAAGTGGGTATGATGGGAGGAGGGTGGGTGTGGGGTATGTGGTTGGGGTGTGGGAGAGTGTGGGTATGGTGGAGGGGTGGGAGTGTATGTGGGTG